TTCTATGAACTTTATAGTTTTAGGCTTTATATTCAGGTCTTTGCTCCATTTTGAAGTAGTTTTTGTATACGGTGTGAGGTATGGGTGCTGTTTCATTTTCCTTTGCCCATTTTTTAATAGGATTATTTGTCTTTTTGTTGTAGAAGTGTTGGATTTTCTTGTAGATTATGGAGATTAGACCTTTGTCTGACTTGTACTCTCCGAAATTTTTTTCCCAGTCTGTAGGTTCTCTTTTTACTCTTTTGGTGAAGTCTTTTGAAGAGCATAGGTGTTTGGTTTTTAGAAGATCACATGTCCTAAGAATTTTGAGTCCCTTTCCAGGAAGAAATGTACACAATCAAAAAGACAAGGCTACAAAGAAAAGGCTGAGTGATGCTTAGTCAGACATCCCAGTTAGTCAGGAAAACCAAACCTGTTGCCATTGCTGCTGAGTCGATTCCGACTCATAGTGACCCTATAGGACAGAGTAGAACTGCGCCATAGGATTTCCAAGGAGTGGCTGGTGGATTCGAACTCCCAGCCTTTTGGTTAGCAGCCAGACACTTAACCACTGCATCACCAGGGCTCCTTAATAGAAGACCTAAAACCCCCCAGAAGGCTGCAAAAATGAGACTAAGAAATAAAAATAAAAGGCATAGTTTAGCTATACAAAGAAAATCCAAATGCAGAATTGCCCAACTGCAGAGAAACTTCTTAATATTTAATGATGAAAGATAGTACTAGCACCTCTTTCAAAGACTAATATGTTATATTCCACAGTATGTACAGGGTTGATAAACATTTTGTTTATTCTGTGTAATATACCCTGAAGCCTTGGTGGTGCAGTGGTTAAGAGTTCAGCTGCTAACCAAAAGGGTGACAGTTCGAATCCGCCAGCTGCTCCTTGGAAACCCAATGGGGCAGTTCTGCTCTGTCCTATGGGGTCGCTATGAGTTGGAATTGATTCCACGGCAACAGGTTTGGTTTTTCGTTTTTGTTGGGACTTTACTGTTTTATTTGTCTATGATGGTTGATGTAAAATCAAAACACCAAACCTGTTACCTTCACATTGATTCCAACTTATGGCAACTCCATGTATGTCAATGTAGAACTGTGCTCCAGAGGACTTTCAATGACTGTGATCTTACAGAAGAAGATTGCCAGGCTTTTCTTCTATGGCTCTCTGCTGGATGGATTTGAACTTCCAAACTTTTGGTTAGTAGCTGAGTGCGAACTGTTCATGCCATCCATGGACCTACATGATCACTGATACAGGTGACTAAATTTTTTATTGAACACAAAATTCCTGAATCCAACTATTTTGGGGCACTGGGGTCCATTGAGTGGGCCCCATTGTACAGAGGAGACAGAGAGGAAGACAAATAATTAAAATGCAGTGAGATGAAGACTGTGGGTGATACGTGTGCAAGGTGCTTTGTGAGGCCAGAGGAAGGAAGTGGCTGACTCTGAGGGCAGCAGGGACAAGGCCACAAAGCTGCTGACAACTGGCCCATGAGTA